CGATTGTTTGAAACAACAATTTATATATTTGTTTAACCATAGAATCAAAAACACGTGTTTTAGTTCCATAATATGACCCAATTAGACGGTTATTATCGTTTGGGGAATATACATTTGGTATAATTGATCGTGAAAATTAAGTTTGCTTACTTGACAACTGATGTGAAAATAAACTACAGAATATACTCACATTATCAACGATTAGATTTTCGACGACTTTGTCGGTTTCCAGCACCTTCGCCATCTCTGCTCTGTGCCGCCGTAACAGCTGCCTGTGTTCATCTTTCATACCAAACGACATGGTCGTGTCGTGATATTATAATAAGAGTTGTTTTAAAGTACAAGGAACATATCGGGTTTGCTATAAAACCAATATGGAGGCGGGGTACCTCTTGTTCCTGGAATCGCCATACTTCCGCATTTAGATTATCGCTGAGGGCGCAAACAGATTAAATCGACATAAAAACTCATGGTTTCTCGACCAGCGGGACGTCTGTTTGTCATTGCGGTCAATGAGCAGATATGAGCCTAGAAGATATGATTTGTAACGGATGTTAATGTTATTTCCACTAGGATTTACTACAGTTCCACGCCTAAAAACTCAGTATGACATACTAGTACTTAAGTATCAGTGTTGTCATCATTTAATCTACTAGCGATTTCATTAAAGCGCGGTGGTCGTCGCGCTGCGCATGTGCGACATTTGTGTTAATAACAATTTTATTGTTTTATAATTAATTTCTGTTATTAATATTATAGCGTTACAATTTGTACAATCTACTACAAATTACTACAATTTCGCATCAGGATAAGTCCGCAATACATTCCTAAAGAATGGTCATACACAAAAATAACATTGTCAGCCCTGAATCAGTCTACTTGCGACGGACCCCGCGGCCCGAGTCTATCCAGTCACCGACGTCGAATAATGTCGTATTTATTTTTGTCTATAAAACCTGAAACCAGAACCGGAATTTAAAGATATACGTGTATTAGCATTATATCCGGGGGTTAGGTTGGTATACCTGCCAATTCCTGCATTGTTATAGATGATTGCAATTTAATTGAGCTTAAAGGTCGGTAGTCGTCGTGCCATGCATGCGCGAGATATATGGGTCTCATATAAACAAAGATGGTGTTGCGCAGATCAACGAGTACAACTGAGACGTTTTCAAACTTTAATTACTAGTAGATAATTTTAAGTGATTGAAAGGTATCGAAGGAGTCGCGGGCGATATTCAGTGCAAGTCGCGCCCAGGTCAAACCTCATACTTGTGATTTCCATTTGAAGAGCGCATTGGATTGTGGGGAGATCAATGTTTATCAACACAAATGTCGCACATGCGCAGCGCGACGACCACCGCGCTTTAATTAAATCGCATTCTCATACAGGCTTGCACTAAATTATACATGTAATTAAATTCATTTCTATTCTAAATTCAATTGATTTTAATTAAGTTTAAATTAAACTGTATTTATGTTTAGAGCTGTAATTTAATTGAGTTGTTCGGTACATTCAGGTACTAAAATCCTGGAGATATTAGTTATTTATGCCAATTGGCTGTGTAATGCATATATCCATGGTGACGCATTGGTAGCGCGGACGACGGTAAAATTATCATTTACTTGAAATGAAAACACTGTATTCCCTCACTGCTTACTTGCAAAAAATTATTCCATCTTTCACATTTTTACTTGTCCGACAGATAACACACATCAAATCAGTCTTTTCTGTGAGTAAGCATTCAAAATACGCAGGCATTTATGAAAATAATATTGTTTAAAAAGGCTGATAATATAACAATTACAGTAAACTAATCCTGGAGGGGGGGCTAGCTGGTACAGGCCGGGTTACAGGGAAGTAAAAACGTCATTTTATGTTTTTCAGGCAATAGAATGGATGTTCCATTTACAGTAAAAATAGGTTTTTACGTTTTACAAATAAAGCAAATTCCTAATTACATTTTACATTTGATAATATTTTTTGATAATTTGTGTTTAAAAATCGAAAATGGAAACTGCGCACGAATTTATTTTGGAAAATGCTTTATACGCTTACAAAAAATAATATACTTTGTACATATTACGGACGAATAAAATAGGTGATTACATTTTACACCTTGCCCATGTCTACGAATTTACAATTCTTATTTATTTAAATTACATTATTACAAAAATAGAAACAATCGATTACAGCTTACGAAAATACCCCTTGTCGACCCTCAATCCGGGCCCTCAATCCTCGCTTGGTCTTATCATTATTATAATAATAATAACTTTATTGTCAACCTATCTCCATTGAGATCTGGAATAACATACAATAAAGATTAAAAGATACAGAAAATATAAATTTAAAATACAACAACAATAAATAAAAGTATAACCGAATAAGAAAAAATAACTGTTAAAAAAAAGTCTTTGACAAACTAGTAAATAAATAGTTTACATATAAATGTAAGAATGCATAGTATATTTTCAGGGCAGCTGGCAATCTCTGTATATTTTCTTTTCTCATAAGAAAGCATTTGTGAATGTATTTTGATATTTTGAGAATCAGTTTTTCATCTTTGTTATTTAGAAGAGTTTCTAATTTCTGTCTATTGGTATTGTTTTTAGGCTGTATTTTTAATTTTTTGAATATATCGTTTCTTTCATTTATGTATAATTTACAATTTAGAAGAAAGTGTATTTCATCCTCTACTTCATTAGTTTTACAAATGGGACATTTTCTATTGGATATATCTATGTTGCTGTGTCTTCCTGTTTCTATC